ATATCAGATAGTAAGAAAAAATGCTCCCAAATTCTCTCTCATGTAAAGAAACTTGCAATTTTCTGTACGAACGCAAATTTGCAAGTTTTTCTGCCAGCTAGTGTCCATGGCTGCATTTCAAACAAAAGAAATTTGTATAGAATTTTTAAAATTCTTACAGAGGGGCAAAAAACAGGACCTACGTGTATATATCTTGTCAGTCCGATTTTCTTCAACATACGTTTCAATTTCTTTGTCGGGTTTACTACACAGTTTTTTTTTGCCGAATACCTTTCAAATCATTACTAAATTAATTAAGTAAACAAGTATTAACTTAAATTTTTCATTTTAAAATCGCTCCAGTTTGTAAATTTTTAAATTTAACGAACTTGTTTATTCAAATTATCGTCGACAAAAAACCCAACCATGTGCCACAATCATATCTTTTTCCTAATTGCAAATTCTTGCTGGCAAAATTTTTTCCGGCTCGAATTTGTAACTTCTCTCCAAGAAATAGTCTTTTACTCGTGATTTATTTAAATAAAACATGTGAAATTTAGTTGAAACATTTTAGCCGGTTTTATTTGCCAATTTAGCCGGTTCGTCCAAAAAGTTCTGGCAACACTGATTCTATCATTCTTGCCGCCCTATTCCCACAACACTGACAAAATTCATCATATGACCATTGTCACAATTACTGCGCCTAAAACACAATATAAAAATTGTTTCGCCGTTGTCACTTACTCAGTAGGTCATAACAATAAAACTGACAATTGTCATACGACAGCTTAAAATAAATTTGCGGCATAGTATTAGGCGCAGTAGTAAAGGCAATAGTCAGCCGCTGAGTTTTGTCAGTGGTGTGGGAATAGGGCGGTTGGTCTGCTGCTGCAAATCAGTGCCTCGCTCGCAACGATACCCTCGCGAGGGCAGAGCTAATGAGGTCCTCGTGTGCTTGCCGATCTACTCTTGCGCTGCCCTCGTTTGCTTACTCGATCGCTTGCTGCTCAGCGCGTGCGCCCGTACTTAATGAGTGGTCGTTTGCAAACAGCTTCGCCAAAAAATTCTGTGTGGTAGAAACTGGAAAAAAATGTGATAGATTTCAAAAAATTGTGGTAGATCTCAGGTTTTAGATCAAACTTTGTACTAGAGGTTTACGCCAACTGGCTTTGCGGCGGCGGCGTGGTCAACTTCAAAAAGAATCGGCGGCGGCGGCGCGTCCAGAAACGTCGGCGCTACTGCCCATAAGGTAGATTCCAAGGAGCCATAAGGCTACTAATCTTATCATGTCATCTCGTCAGCGTTAGGCATTCGCCATGCCAATTCAGATTATACTTCTATTTAATTAATTTATTGAATTAGTATTAAATTTAAATTACGTTACTTCCTACTTGAATTAAAATGTTGAGTGTCTGACGCTGATGGATTGGCGAACAGAAGAAGGTCTGAGGTATATTCATACATACACACATGGCTCTCTATGTTCTCTACAGGTCCGTATGTACTATCTAAATTTAAAGAAATAAAAAAAATTAAAAAGTTAAGCTATTGGGGTAATTTATGTAGCTATCAATAAATTTTTTCGATAATCATATCAACCGTTATGTTAAATTACAGAGCCCTTACGATTTTTTGCGGATTACATATTGAAAACAAGGTTGGTCTCCTTTTTTCCAAAAGTTTAACCCATCAACTCGAAGCAGAACGACCCACTGTTTAAAAAAAATGGCTTATAGATGGTTAAAATTTCCACTAAAATATTAAGCGCCAAATGTTTCTAAGGAGAACCGAATGTAATGAAAAATAATACTAATTTTTACCAAAAAGCGGGAACTTTAACCCTGTATGGAAAACATTGCGATGCGAGGGAGCAAAACCTTCCTGGGGTTTGACTACCACTAAGGAATGCTAAATTTCACACAGCCACCTAGTACTTGTATACGTATGTGGCACCCCAGAATAAACTAACTTTCGAATATAAAAATTAGCAAAAAAAAATGTTTGCTTTTTATTGAAAGTCTAGTTAAAAAATACACAGGAAAATCAAATTGTCTTTGTTTTATCTCCAAAAAATGAGGAGTTAGATGCAATGAGGCCGCTTCTGTTAAAACTGCGTTAAAGTTTTTCATGCGTTATAACTTTCTTGTTGTTGTAGTATGTGTATAAAAAAG